AAACTTCTTTCTAAGAATGTTCTTTATTCTTTATTACAAGTTTACTGTGACTGTAAGATTAGATAATGAAAAAAGACCAATCACAGTTATGTTTTATGCTTTTTGAGTCCTACTTGCATTATACAAAAAAGTAGCAAGCATTAAATTAGTATAGAATGAATGTTATTGTCAGAGTAAAAGTATTTATCTGAAGGTCTCTTTGAGTAAAGAAGGGAAATATCTCGGGTGTTGGAGGACTGGCTGTCTGTGTTTCCTTACACCAGAGGAAGCAGAGAGTCTGTGGCTTGACTCTGTGTTTGTAATGACAGTCACTGGGTCTGCTTGTGTTGCCTTGGGCTGCAACATGCCCAGCTTATACTCAAAGCCACCAGCTTCTAGGATTTTGGCAGATTGCGGTGAGTTGTGGAAGCCGGATCACATGCTGGCACCAGCTGGAACAGGCTGTAGCAGCTCCACTGCCCCAAGCAGGCGATAAAGGAAAAGAGCAGCTGTGGCTTCACTGTGGTCAGGCTGCTGTGGATCTTCATGATCAAAGTGACATTCATGCACTTGGAGCAGACCAGATGGAAAGAGAACATCCTCGCACTGTGCAGAGAGAAGTTGTGTGAAATCAACCTGTTGGTGGTAGATACCACCATCACTGGGGGTGAAGCCACTGACTAGGTTAAACGGCTGTACAGTGGCAGGGCCCCGGGGACATACTGCCCCAAGTGCAGGAGTTCAAGTATCTCAGAGGTCTTTTTCACAAGTGAGGGGAGCAAGAGAATAACGAAGGAACTGAGGTGGCGTCTGCAGTGATGCGATGCTGTACTGATCTGCTGTGGCACAGACAGAGCTGAGCATAAAAGCGAAGCTGTCAGTTTATCAGTCAGTCTACATTTCTACCCTCACCTATGATCACAGATACAAGCGTCGGAAATGAGTTTCCTTCAAAGAGTGGCTGAGCTCTCCCTCAGAGATGGGATGAGGAGCTTGATTCTTTAAGAGGAACTCTGATTAGAGCCTCTGCTCGTCCACGTTGAAAGGAGCCGGTTGAGGTGGTTTGGGCATCTGACTAGGATGCTTCCTTGGTGAGGTAATCTTGGCGTGTCCTACTGGGAAGAGGCCCGGGACTCAGGAGTCTGGACTCGCTGGAGAGATTCATCTCGTGGCTGGCTGGGAAAAATCTTGATTCCCACCTCAATGAGCTGGAGGTGGTGGGTGGAGTGAGGGAACACTGGGCTTCTCTGCGCAGAATGCGGCCTGCTTGACCGCAAAATGGCTGGATGGATGTAACAGACTTTAGTCTCCAGTTTGGATGTATGAGTTGATTGGTTAACCACCAATACACCGAACTAGAAACCAGTACGATAACTACTTTCCTTTGTCTGATCTTTGCAGATGCTGCTGTGGAGTTTAGTTGGACAAAGGAGGAGGTAGCAGATCTGAATAACACTAGCATCATAATTGCTGCTGATGGTAAGTCTTAAGGATGACATCTCTAAAAGATCAGAGCTCTTTTTCACCATGTATGCTCTACTCTGAAAGAGTTACTGAAAAAGGTGGGAAGGTTCTAGACAAGACACTGTGGGCAAACCTTTAAAATTATGTGCCTCACAGCGAGGTTTAAGCACCAGTTCGTTGTCAGAAACGCTACCATGCAAAGCCCAGAGTAGCACACAGTGTGAACTACTGAGATGCTGTATGTGGCAAAGGAGGCTCCAGACTGCTGAGCAACTGAAGCAACTCGTGAAGCGATTTGTAAAAAGCAGTTATTTACTGAGACAGTTTTGAGTTCAGACTTTAGAGTCATTTATGGAACCGTCAAATGCAGAAGCTCAGCAATAATTAGATTTCTTAATGTGTCACCAGTTTGTTATGATGATGATCTGACGGATGGCCTATTCCGAACACTGCACCGACTCTGCAGCAACTTTCCACACACCTGCACTGTCTTCATCTCCATTGAGAAAAGGTATGGTGAAAACATATATAGTATACCTGAGCATATTTGGCCTTATACACAGTGGAATGATCATGTTTCTTAAGCTGATAAAAATAGTGGGTCAGCCAACTCACACGAGAATGAGAAAATGTACAGGATTAATATTTCTCCCAGAGGTTCTGCAAGCAAACAAACTTTAAACTTGACTCAGCATGAAACATACAAAGCATTAACTTCCACCCAACTACGACGATAAATTCAATTGATTTTCATTTATGTGGTGCTAGTTCACCACCGTAGTCACCTCAAGGTGTTTTATATTGTTAAGTCAAGACTCTGTAATAGAAATCGCACAACAGGTTGGGTGTGAGGGTAAAGAAAAGCAGAACAACTGAGACAAAACACAAACAATGTGAGAAGATACACGGTAATGATATGCAGTAGTGGGAAGTGAAAGGAGGAAAAAAAGCTTTTTGTGCATTATGGGAAACCCCGAGGAGCGAACCGTCACTAAAGGAGGGTTCAGGGTCACCTGATCCAGCCCTGACTAACCTCCTAAGACCCGAACTCTTCCACGGCAGCATTTTTAATTTCTCTTTGCTATTTGGGCTGATTGGGACCTGATGAATGTAAAAACAAAGAATTACCAGATTTTTTTTTTTTTACCTGATTTTTGTTTCTGAGAAAAATTAGATCCACATATGAGGACGTTTGTTTTAAATTTTGATAGATCAGTGGCAGCATAATGTCCTCGTAAGTGGAACTCAGGCCCTTGTAGAGCAAAATTTTGTATTTTGGTCTAAATAACCCAAAATGTGATGTCCACATATGTGGACGCAGGTCCTAGGAGGTTAAAAGTAGAGATAGTGTCTGTCTCCTGAATCCAAGCTGGAAGCTGGTTCCACAGAAGAGGGGCCTGAAAACTGAAACTTTATGAGAGGCTAAGAAAGTGTAACAACCACAGTAAAGCTGCATCAACACATGAAGCAGTTCTCAGCGTCAATGACATTGAGGCAACTTTGAGGTAAGAAATTGAAACAGCATCAGTAAGCGTGCTCGATGCTGCTGGTTGAGCAAGGACAGAGTAGAAAATACATTATTGGATCACCTCGTTCACCGGAGCCTGGGACGTGTCTCAGCTCTAAACCGATGCCCGAGGAGCTCGACTGCTGTGTAAGGCTGCACTCTGACCGCCGTGTTGGCAAAACAAAGGTTTTAAAACTCTGCTTAAATGTTCAAATAATCTCACTACCTCTACCAAAAATGTTCTGTAATTAACTTGACAACTTATTTAGCCGCTTCATATCACATGATAGGACTCCACCTTTGGCTAGTACACTTGCATTACAAGAGAGGGAGGCCACAAGTTCTCAGCCTCAAAGGGTACTGTGTGGATCTGTCCGTGATCTACAATTATAGCTGTAGTGTTCAGATGTTAAGAAGAAGAAATATACAAGGAATAATTTTCTTAGAATTTAAAACTGTCTGCAATACTGAACTGTTTATACCAGGCAAAAATGTCGAGAAGTTAAGCTATGGGAAAACTGTGGGCTTTCAGGAAATCTAACTCTACTTGTAAGTGATTCAGAGAACGCTTGGGAGAAAGTGCTGCTGTCAGATGAGACCAAAGTCGAGTTTGGCAACAGCCTGACCTGCTGTGTTAGAGGAAGAGAAATGCTGAGCCAGAAAACACCATCCCTTCAGTCCAGCACGGAGGTGGAGACATTATGCTTTGAAGCTGGTTATCTGCTTGGTCAGGGGTGGGCAACTCCAGGCCTCGAGGGCCGGTGTCCCTGCAGGTTTTAGATGTGTCCTTGAACCAACACAGCTGATTTAAATGGCTAAATTAGCTCCTCAACATGTCCTGAAGTTCTCCAGAGGCCTGGTAATGAACTAATCATATGATTCAGGTGTGTTGACCCAAGGTGAGATCTAAAACCTGCAGGACACCGGCCCTCACAGCCTGGAATTGCCCACCCCTGTGCTAGGTACATTATTTCAGGACAAATTTTCTGCAAAAACACAATGTTTAGTCTGTATAGATGTTACATGACAAGTCTGGATCTGGAAAAGTTGGGATTTTTTAATTCAATTCAATTCAATTTTATTTATATATATATATTTTGTGTCGCTGGTTTTTGCCACACGCTCAGTGTGTAATGGCTTTAAGGGTTAGCCTAACCCTAAGCTCTACGTTCCAAGGTCCTTTTTACTGCAAGCCTCATTCCTCCATTCACACGAGTGCTTTTTTCTGTACCTAAGCTAGCCTTCACAATCTCACACTATCTTGAATGTTGGCAAGGATGCTTTGACACCCAGGTTGGAGGAGCAAGGCCTCAAACCACCAGAGTTTTTCATTAGTACATATGATCCACTCTGTCTCCTGAGCCATAGCCGCCCCTACTTCTACTTTTTAAGTGACTATGTTTCTATCTTCAAGGATGAACTTCACCTTGCAGCACATGGATGTTTCCTGTGAAGCCTATGATCATTTCATCCACTGTATGAACCAACTTCAGGACCTGGAGAACGGACGATGTAGTTTCAGAGTCGATCAGCTCCCTTCTAACTTTGATCAGTTTATTTTATATGAACGTGTAGAACAACTGGTGAGTAAAACATTAGCCAACATAATTTGACCATAACTACAGTTTTATACACTAGACTGCCAGAAGTATTACCCATCCAAGTCATTGAATCCAGGTGTTCCAATCACTTCCATGGCCACAGGTGTCCTAGACATGCAGACTGCTTCTACAAGCATTTATGAAAGAATAGATCACTCTCAGGAGCTCGGTGAACTCCAGTGTGGTAGGATGTGCAACAAGTCCAGTCAAGAAATTTCCGCACTAGCAACTATTAATCAGTCAACTGTCAATGGTGGCATGTTCTCTGAAAGGGCAAATCATGCTTCTCCCTCTGGCAATCCGATGGATGAGTCTAGGTTTGATGGTTTCCAGGACAAGACGTTTGGTGAAGGGGGATTTATGGTGTGGGGTTGTTTTTCAGGAGTTAAATGAACTCGTTTTGGACAATTTAATTCTCCCAGCTTTGTGGGAATAGTTTGGGGATGGCCCTTCCTGTTTGAACATGACTGCACATGAGTGGATAGAGCAAGGTCCATAAAGACATTAATGAGTGAGTTTGGTGTGGAAGAACTGACCTCAATCCAATAGATCACCTTTGGGGTGAATTAGAGCGAAGACTGCAAGCCAGGCCTCCTCAACCAAATTCAGTGTCTGACCTCAGAAATGTGGTTCTGGAAGGATTTAAACTAATTAGGAACTCAAGTTCATATGTGTGTGAATTCAGAGAAGCAAATACTTTTGGCAGTATAGTCTATATTAGCTATTTTTTAACCTTATTGAATGCTTATTTTTGATCATAAACCTCAAATGACACTGTTTGCAGTAACTTACTGTAAATGCATTTAAATGCACGTCAGAGTTGCTTTTGTTATTGTAGTACAAAGTGCTACTCCAGTGTTAATCTTTTGGAGACACTGTTGCGAGTGTCATATTGATTGATTGATACCACTGTTTGCAGTATGATATGCTAACATGCCGCTTACAGCAAGACAGTGTTTGTATTTAAACTGCTTGATAAAAGACAATTTTCCTCTTATGTTCGATTTATGGTACCAAAAGTATTTTTCATCATTTGGAATTCTCAAAAAGCAATTTTTTAACCATTTAAAAATAAATATACAATAACTTTTTTTTTTGAAAATATAACATGCAAACAGTGAAAAGGTTTCATTTTTATCCAATACGGTTAAGTGGGTTTGTGATAAAGGATGACTTTCATCAAGTGGAATAAGTTGTTTATTTGTATGTTATATATATTTTTGCAGGAGCTGTGGAAGGTGACTGCGACTCCTCTTCCTTTTATGCCAGCCAGATCTGATCCGGAAGCATTTTAATGTTGATCTTGTACCAGCACCAAACCAAAGTGAAGAGAAACTTTCACCCAAAATTTGACCTAAAATATGTTTCAAGTTTACAGTTGATGTTTTAATTACATATATTTATAAAAAAATATATATGTATAAAATTAAATGTAGTAATCAAGATAAATATTGAAAATTAAAAAAAAAAAAAAACAATAAAAGTAAAAAATATTATTTTGTTTAAATTTTGCATTCCCTTGTGCAACTTTTTATCCTTTTCATCCTCATGTCAGTGGTTGTCAGTGTCTGGTTGGAGGAGCTTGGGAAGTGGAAGGAAGTGCTAACTGAGAAGTGGTGGGTCAGTTTTAGAGCCGATTAGATAGTCTTTGACCAAGAGACCAAACAGCAACGCTCAGTCATAGATCTTTAAAAGTCACCTTGAAAATGCTGCTTTTGGTCTCTGGTTAGGGTTAGCTTATGGATATTGTATATGGGGGTTTTTTTGTGTTGATTAGCAAAAGCTGGCAATCTTTTCTAGTAGGATTCATAAGTTTACGGATGCAACAAACAGGCACAGATAAGTGCTATTTAGTCCAAGGTGAAACACTAGAATTTCGCTCACGAAAACTGAAGCACAAATGTCTTAAATGAGTCGTAACACTCTGCACGCATTGGTGTCTGTTTGAGAATGCCTTTAAAAATTCTCTAAGAAGCACCATCAGCACAAACATAGTGGAGTTGTTGACATTGTGAGTTCTGGTAGACAGCAGTCTGCTACAGCGATGTTGGCATACCTATCAGTCAAACCAGCAAACTGTAATACTTATTTGTGAATGACTTCAGAGTATGAAAGGGAAATTATCTACAAGTTATTGTTGCACCAGACTGTAAACATACTTTCTAATTCTGTAAATATGGAAATTCAAATATGGGAATTTATAACTATGAATTATAATCGTTTTTTGTCAGTTTATTGGAGGTTTTTGTCTAACCTGCAGCTGTTTTTGTGAAATGTTTTGAAGCAGTTAATTGAAGCATACCAATTTTGTTTTAACTTACTTCTGTTGAGATACATTATATATACATTATACATTATATTATACATTATATTATACTATATATAGTATAATATACATTATATTATACTATATATTATACTAATTATATGAGTACTTTTTTAAATTCACTAGTGGCTTTGTTTTAGAATATAGCGGGGTGTGTGTGTGTGTGTGTGTGTGCGCGCGCGCGTGCGGTGGGGGTGCATTAGCGTGTTTTTGTACTCGAGTATAATGTCTTCTTCAAGCAAACAAGAAATATAACTCATATTAAAGAGTTAATCAAGTTGAAAGAATAAGCCTTCGAAAGTCATACTCCAAGAAAATCAAACAAAATCTGACTCGAATCTGCGGTTTCTACAAAGCTGAGAAATTTTTTTGACGTAAACCGTGTGTCCGTAGTCTTTCGGGGAATGTAGTTCTCTTAGTGTGAAAATTCTTTCGAAGCAGACGCGCTCTCGTTTTTTAATAAGACTTCATATCCCAGGGGTCACTGCGGGTAGCCGGCGGTTGTGGGGACGCATTAGCTCACGCGGACAGTCTCTGGGAGTGCTGAGTCGAACATCCTCTGTGGCGTCTGGTCAGACAGAAACCGGCTGCTGGGTTTTACTTGAGTCGGAGATTAAACGGCACACTTGGAGTTGGGACGCTCTCCAGCATTGCCAGGGCTGACGGCGTCGTCGGGTTTCGGGAGGACGCTCGTGTGGCTCAACAACTGCGCAGCTCAAATCTCACGGCGGTGAAAATCCAACAACCACGATGGACCCGAGAGACACTGCCCCTGATTCCTGGGAACAAGAAGATGATGTGGAGGCCACGATCGACGGACAACTTGAATCAGCATTCACAACGCTAAATGTGAACGCTAAGCCATTTGTGCCCAATGTAAACGCCGCCGAGTTTGTTCCGGCTTTTGGCCTGAAAGCACACCCGGCAAACGTCGACTCTGCCGGTGAGTACAGGGGCACCACGGGGTTGCGTTAGCTAAGAGCTAGCAGTGGCTGGGCTGCTAGCTCATTAGCCGCTTTGCAGACACGCGTTCCGTGAAACGCGATAAACTAGCTGCTTTCCACGTTGTTCGGGTTATTAATCCTTCTCGTGGTAAGCTTTGCGCTTTGTAAGTTTTTCAACTTGTCACATCTAGCCGCCTCTTGTTCTGCAGCTTGTTAAATACTGTCATAACTGATTAAATAGTAACCACCCCAACCGGCGTTAGCTTGTTTCAGCCACCCGGCGGTAGCCAACTAGCATGGTCGTTAGCCGGCGTGCTTTTCACGTTTGAGTTTTGGGAACCTCGGTGTTTAGCGTCAGCGACGCCGTACAACCAAGAGATCAGTCATTCTGAGCAGTAACTGGAGCCGTACTGGCACTTTTCCCGGGAGTGTTTGCGGAAAGCTTAAACTCGTCACTGCGAACAAATTAGTAAGAGCGTGAGTATGAGTATGTGGCGTGACGTGGATGATCTGACGCACTCTGGAGACGATCACAGGAAAGCGTACATACACCACCTGCATCCATCCGCGGTGTGCCGCCCATATTGAGCCCCACACACGGGAACTAAAACAGTAAAACTGTTACAGGTTCTGTCGTCAGATGGCCTCTGAAGATACAATGAGAGCTACTTGTGGGGCACAAAGACGGTTCTGTTTTCTAATTAAGCCAGTTGCAGCTTTAAAACTCACATGCTCTTCTTTTAAGATTGTGGAACAAGCTCCATTAAGATTACATTAAACTTAAATGTAACCATTGTTTCTCTTTTAGTTGCTGTTGAAAAGATGTCCACCATGGAGATGTCAGAAAGTGCTGGTATGTATGAAGTAGGGCTGAACGATTATGGAAAATAATCTAATTGCGATTTTTTTGCCCCAATATTGCGATTGCGATGCGATATGCGATTATTTTTTAAGGTCTTTGTCTTCTGTATTATTAAACAAAGACAAGCAATACATCATATAGTATGGCCAATACTATATTACATTAATTTTAAACTGTTCTTTCCTGGAAGACAGACCTCTGTTATGATGACATGAGGTGATGCATGAATTGATGACTGACATTTTTATTTAACTTCTTCAATCACAACAGTATATTTGAACATACACAATAGTTTATTTTTAGCTTACAAACATCTGAGCATAAAGTGCTGACAAGGAACCCTGGTGTAAACATTAAAATGAAAGTCAGTACAATGTGCAGATTGCAGAAATATACATAAACAAAATCAGTGGCTTTACCACACTCAGTTTTTCGACATCTGTGAACTACTAGACAGTCATTCAATTAAAAAATAATATTAAATAAATAAAACTAATAAATAAAAAATACACACATCTTACTGATCTCTGCAGTCAGTAACATTACACATAAAGTGCAAACATAATAGCAATTGTATAAACACACACACAAACACGCCTTTAAAGTTTAAAGGCGTGAAATTGGACGGTCTAGTTCTGATTAGCGTCACCGCTGTCTCGGTGGAGTTTAATAAACTCGGCCGTCTGCTTCTTGCTATCTAAAATATAACCAGACACTGGTGTAAATTCTCGACTGTCTCATACTTCTGTTTAATAAGTTTTCTGTTTGACGTTTAGTCAGCTGTGTGAAAACCAAGGAGGAACCCACCCGGGGGATTAATAAAGTTTTATTTTATCTAATCTAATAACTTTAATCTCAGCCAAACCGATTTACTCACGAACAAACAAAACACTGAAAAAAGCCCAACAATAACATTTTTAGGTTGTCTAAGTGACTTATATATTACGTTTAACCCGAGCAGCGAAACTCCGCGGTGATCTGAAAATGATGTGCCGGGAGTTGTGCCGTTCTCGGCCGCATCAGTAACCCTCGAGCTCCCGGCTAGCTGTCGAGCTGGTGGGTAGCAGACGCCCCTGAAAACGTCGAAGCACTTTTGCAAATATGGGATATCTTGATAAACCGAGCAGATATTTGATGTTTACACAACTACTTTCTCGCCTGAAAATATGTTAAAAGTTTATTTTGTGACCCAGAAAGATTAGTATGAGTAATTTTAAAACTTAGTAGCGGCCGCCATTGTTGGAAACTGGAGTTTGGCTGGGCCGCGCTATGAATTCTGGGATATGGTAGTAATTTGGACAGCCTTCGGCGCGTCGCTGTGACGTAATCGGTCTACAAATGCGGCCTCAGGAGGATGCAGCCCATGAATTTGGACATGTCCAGAGTATAATCGCAGCCTTTGCGGTTAGAAAATTGCACTTGATCATGTCGTGATATTATCGCAAATGCGATATATCGTTCAGCCCTAGTATGAAGCGTGTTTGTGTGGGTCACTGGCTTCCCACTGTGGCACACAAATTGCGCACACACACTGCTACAGTGTTACATACAAGCGCTTACTGCCCGTGTTATTGTCCTGATATGTGCAGACTCTGGGTATGAAACCTTTGAGGATGCGCCAGTAGTCTTGGGGATGACTGTCTGTAGGCTGATTGGTTGAAAAGTGGGCCTGAACAGGAAAGGAAGTGTCAGCAGACTCGACCACAGAGAGAATTGAAGAGAGAGAAAAAAAAACCCTAAAAGATGAAAAATACAGTCAGTTGCCAGAGAAGAAACATGTGGTTTTTGTTTTTTACTCAGTGTCATTTCAACTCTTTGTATGTTGTAACTCTGCTGCTCTCCACTGATGGCAGAAGCAACAACAAGAGACTGCTTATTGCATGTGTTTCTGACACTGTCCCCTGGTTCTTGTGCATATAAGAGTAGCCCTTGTTTTTCACAAAATTGTGTGGGTGTAGGTTTTTGTACATGAAGTAGGTGATGGATACGGTTATTTTGTTACCTTGCTCTGAACTGAAAAGTAGCTTTGTCAAGCTAAGTGTGCCCAGTTGTGGTTTTTCAGGTAAGTTAATTTAATGTTAGATTTGTTGCCGAGATTAATCTTCATGTTTGTAGTGCTCCCAGTGTGCCTTACACACACACACACACACACACACACACACACACACCTACCTCTATATGTGTGTGTGTATATATCTATCTATATATCAGGGGTGCAACAATACTCGTATCGATATTGAACCGTTCGATACAGTGCGTTCGGTTCGGTACGCATATGTATCGAACAATACAAAATTTTTAATTTATTTTATCAACTTTCCTTCTGACGAT